CAAAGGAGGCCACACCCACAGAGTAGGTTCGAACAATTTTTGAAACCCACCACTGATCTCAGCCCACTGAGCCTTCAGGCACTGGTACCTGGCCTTGCACTCCCGCAGGTCTTCCCTCTGCTTTGAAAGCCTATGCTCGCAGTCCTCAGTGAGGTGCTTCTACTGAGTCTCCTTCTCGGTCAGATCCAATATGAACTGAGCTGTTTTGCCAACTCTTTCGCATGGCGGCTGCTTAGCTCCAACAACCGCTTCCTGTTGGGGCCCTAAGGATCCCGGGAGGGCAGGCGAGGAGTGGCTGGGGAGGGGCAAGTAGAGGCTGGCGAGGTGCCCCTGACGTGAGTGACATCAAATTGGACATGCCCACCAGTCACATGACCACCTAGCCACACCCCACCAGCTGGTCATTAGGCAGATCATATTAGTGGTCTGCGGGATTTAAAATTTAATGGTCCCTGAGGTCCGAAATGTTGGTGACCCCTGGATTAGATACATTCTATAAATAGCACAGCCCCCAGCACAGAACAAATTTGAATTTTGTTAGTGAACACAAAGGATGCAACCAGATCAGCCTCCGCAAATTTGATATCCCAGGATGCAGAAATCCCAGAATTCACAACCAATATGGTCAACAGCAATCTGGACAAGGCCAGATTTTAAAGGAGACATTAAAAAAATGTTAAGAGGTAAAGTGTATGTTCTGATCATCTTCAAATCCCACAAAACAAAATAAACCAACATTTGAGGCATCTCCCATTCTAGGAGGCTGCCGAAAGGATGGTTCCAAACCATATTTCTGTACTCCTTTCCTTTGCCCTCTTAAATGTCATCCCTTCTTTAAGTAGGTTACATGTGGTAATTTTTTTATTTGGAATGGTTATATTACATTAGGAGAGATGAGCAAGGCATTGTTTTAAATACCATGACTTTTTCCTCCTATTCCCATCTGAAATTAATCTTATTAAGTATCCTTATCTCAACAGCAACTAGGGAAAGTGTATTTTTCCATATTTCTATTTAAATGATATATAGTTCCTTTCAAATGGCTGCATTTATATATATATATAAAAAGAATCATGTTAAAACGGGTGTGTCCAACCTACGGTCCAGAGGTTACATGCAGCCTTAAAACAGCTGATGCAGCCTTACAAAATTGTAAGCATGATTTTGTATTATAAAGCTATATTATATATTTCACATGCAGGCCAAGATAATTCCTCTTCACTCAATGGGGTTCAGGCAAGCCCAAAGGTTGCACACCATGTGTTGAAAGAAAAGTGCAGAACACTTGCTAAGCATTCAGACTTTTTAAGATGCACCTGTTTTCTTCAAGATCAAAACACGATACGTTCATTATGATGGGATTATATATGGTTTTATTTCTATTTGGAAAAATAATATTTTTCTTTCAATTTACGAAGTCAGTATTACACAACACTGTAAACTTCTTGTCAAATGTCTTTTGCAATATAGACAACTATTGTTGCTTTGGCTGAAAGCTTTCTTACTGGTAGATCTGGGTAACACATAATAATTTGGTTTTAAAAAAAGGATTGATTCTGCATGATTCAACAATGATAGGCAACCTGGTGCCTCTCAATATGTTTTTAGATTACATCTCAAAGGAATTACGGCCAGTATGATCTGTTCTGAACCCCCCCCCCCTCTTCACACACCAAAGCACGTCGAGACAAAGATACTTCAAGGATNTCTTTCCAAGCAGCCTCCATGTCTCCAGTGTCTTCTTCCCCACTTGGAGCTGAACCCAGAAGGACATTACTTTCAACATTACCTTAACAGTTCCTAGGTCCTGGGTTAGGACTGGAGCTGTTGAACTACCAACCAGCCCCAAAGGCTGCGAATCTCGCCAAAGATTAACCACATAATAATAAAACCCAAAAATTGCTTAAACCAGCAATTTCTCAATAAAAGCTCCTGTGATCCAGTCTCTCATGGCAAGAATCAGCGTTACAGATCCCCATCACGATGCTACATTGACGCTAAAAAAGCTGCAGACAGGCAAACAAAACTATTTCACAAGTAGGCAAACTTTTCAAATTAAACTCATTCCTACGCTTAAAGTTTGCCTCAGTTAAACTGTCGCTCCTCTCGCTCCTCTCCACTCCAAAAGCCAGCAATTTAAGGAACCCGGGAGCATGAGGGGTGGATTTCTTCCAGGTCAGAGCTGTGCCTTAAAGCCAATGGGAATCTTAGCCTGAGGGAATCTATGGCCGACATAAACCTCCATCCATCACTTTCCTTCTCAGGTAAATTCCTTCAGTCCCACATAGGCTTACCCAGAAATTGGGTTCCCTCCTGGAAGTAAGAAGCCGCAAGCGAAGAAAGGTTTCACTCAGGAGGAAACCGCGCCGAACTGGAACTCAGCTACACTCGATAAACCATCAGTTCGCGAATCCAGCGTTGGAAACGACAAACGCGCCTCCGGCGGAATGGAAACCTTTGACCGTCACCCCACGAGCGGAGAGCGAGGCAAATTGGGCGACAGTGCATGTGCCGTATGCGTCACCCGTTAGCCTTACTACGCACATGCGCTCTAGAGTCACGGCTTCGTGGGGGCCGCACCGCGATTGCGCCATCCAAGGCCGAGAGCGTCTCCGGCCAGAGGCGGTCCCGGCCGCGCTGCTTCATTGCGCTTGCGCAGGAGGCGTGCACACCGGAAGAGGACTCTGCTGGGCTTGGATAGAGAAAGAAGGAAGAGGTGGGGGGGAAGGGAGAAGGTTGTTTGGGAGCCGGATCGCGGCGGCCTGCCATCTTCGCTGCTTGGGGTCCGAGCGGACTGGGGCCCAGCCCGGCCATGAGTTGCCGGGGGCCGCTGCCCGGCGAACGAGGAGCGAGACAGAGGTGAAAACGGCCGCGGAAAACGGGATGGTCTCGGGGAGGCGGGGGAGGGGGGAGAGCTTGAAGCAGCCGCGGGCAGAAAACAGTAACAGTTGGAAGGGTCCTTGGAGGTCATCTAGTCCAACCCCCCTGCCTATATTATACTAGGGAGTCGAACCGCCGAGCTGCCGACCTTCCTGATCGACAAGCTCAGCGTCTTAGCCACCTAGCCAGGCCCAAAAAGCCAGAAAAGGCGAGGGCGACCCAGCTAGGAGGAGAAGAGCCCGAGGGAGGCCAGGCGATCCGAGGGGCTCCTGAAGGCGATTGTGCGGTCATTGCCGTGGTTGTTGCCTCCAAGCCTTCGCGTCAGCTGCGTCTTTGCGGGCGGAAATCTGGGTTGCCTGCCTTCCTCAGCTGTTTTCCCCCATCGCCCATCTGCAGCCGCCTCGCTCCTTATTAGCCGGCTGGGGAGCCTGGGAAGTGGGGTACAAACGCGATGGGAAAGATTAGAGGTGAACATGGGCCGTCTCATTTCGACTTGGGTTTGGCCCAGCGGGTTAAATGGGCACCTCGCATTTTCCACTTTTTTCCATCTTTCCTTTGTAATAATAATAATAATCCAGGGGTCTCTGCGTTTTGATCGTTCTTTTCGACTGCTGCTTTTTTATGATTCTATTTTATTTTTCCTTGAATTGGTTTAGGCTGGTATATACTCTTATTTTTTTTTATTTTTGCAGGAACATTTAATAGAATAGAATAGAATTCTTTCTTGGCCAAGTGTGATTGGACACATAAAGGAATTTGTCTTTGGTGCATATGCTCTCAATATACATTAAAATAAAATAAAACAGAATACGTTCATCAAGAATCATAAGATACAACACTTAGTGATAGTCATAGGTCACTAATAAGCAATCAAATTATACTAGGAAACAAATGAAACAATATAAATGTTAAAGATATAAGCAATATGGTTATAGTCATAAGTGGGAAGAGATAGGTACTAGGAAGGAAGAGAATAATAATAATAATAATACAGTCCTAGTACATAATTTGACTGTTATGGGGATTAGTCGTTTAGCAGAGTGATGGCATTCAGGGAAAAAGCTGTCAAGAAATTGTGCTTGAGCCGAGATCCTTCTATCAATTTGATGACAGAATAGAAATTTGACCCTGACGTTTCTCAGAAGCAAATCTTATCTCTTAACCACTTTCACGGCCATTCTTTAAGGCCTTACAAAGCAGGCCTTCAATTAATATTACAAAGTTACCAGATGTAAACATTTGAATATAGAAAGAAGGGGTTTGTAATTTTTCTAAAAGCCATTCAGTGAATTTATGGCTGAGTTGAGATTAAAAATGGAGATACAGCTTATAAGCTTGCAATGGAATCCTAAATGTATTTAGCAGCTGTGCTCCTCTGGTGTTATTTATGAGAACATGTAATATGTTGGTAGCACATTAAGGCCAACTATGCAATACTTGTAAATGCATTTCTGTCAAAACCTGAAGCCTGTTTCAAATTACAATATGCTGCTTTATTGGATCATTGTCTGATAGTAAGATTTTTGTACAGCTTGGTAGAACTTATCATGGTTCCATATTTGGAGAAACCTCAGAAAAAAATAGTCATTAGGTCTATTCAATATGTTAAATAGTTAATGTTCATAATTGGAAAACAAAATAATTTTCAAAATCACATCTCACTTAGAAAAAATTCTCATACAATAACTGTATATAAACAAGACAAAGAAATACCCCCAAATTGAATGACTGAATAAATAGATCGACATATTTTTTTATATCTCTACCAAACTTTCAAGACTCTAGTATGACTTAAACTTGCTTCAGTCTTTTTAGAGCATTAAAAATGTTTGTTTATGAATAATCCTCTTCATTTTGTGAGCTCATCTGAAATATTGTACCAGATATATTGGTGCTTTTGAACATAACAAAGGATATCTTAAAGAATATCCATATGGAAGTTATGCTCATTTAAAAACAGAAAAGGTTTTTTTGTCAAAATTTGTGTTTGCTTTGGACTTAAAATAACACTTATCATACCCATCTTGAACTGCTGACATTTATAACAGATAAAATAAATCCTGATAATCTAATAGACCATTAGGATGAGAAGCAGACAGGTAATTCTTAACTTATGACTACAATTGACCCAAAATTTGTGTTGCTAAGCAACAATTATTATTAAGTGAGTTTTGCTCCATTCTATGACATTTCTTGCCACAATTGTTAAGTGAATCACTGCAGTTGTTATGTCAGTAATATGGTTGTTCTGGCTTCCCCATTGACTTTGCTTATTTGAAGATTGCAAAAGGTGATCCCAGGACACTGAAACCATCATAAATATGAGCCAGTTTCCAAGCATCCAAAATTGGTTCCTGTGACCATGGGGATGCTGCAATGGTTATAAGTGGGGAAAACAGTCTTGAGTCACTTTTTTCAGCACTGCGGTAACTTTGAATAGTCACTAAACTGAATGGTTGTAAGTTGAGAACCACCTGTAACTATTTTTCATTGCCAGACATTCAGGATACGTTTCATTTTAAAATGGTTGCTACTGAGATGATTCTTACTGCACTGAGATTTCTAAGCATCTAGATGAAGTTTAAAATTCAACTTTAAAAGATAATTAATCTGTACATGTTTTTTAAACTAGCATAGGATAATGAAAGATGCTTTAAACCCCCCAGGCCCTACCAGTCTATTCAAAACCAGGCAGCAGGAGAAATGGACAAGCACCCACTTGTCAAGCTCCACTTGTGTGAGCAGAGGGCACTTGTGCAAGTGAACATTTATGCACGAGCCAAGCACCCTCCACTCGTGTAAGTGGAGTTTTGCGCACAAATACAAGTGCCTGCCACGCAATTGGAGCTTAGTGCGCAATGCAAGCACTCTCGCACGGACGGCTCCATGAGGGAAGGGCGTGCACGCATGCTGTTTGCATAAATGGAGCTGTTCACGCACATGCACCTGCCACTTAGACACACATCCGTTGGCCCAGGCTGCCAATCTGGAAAGGTTGGGGGCCACTGCTTTAGAGGATGAATTGCACCTTTTGATACGGCTTTTTTCTGGGTTTAATGGCTGATATATCTTTGTAGCAATGGGCAGATGGAAAAAATGAATAGTTTTAAACAGTGTGTTAGCTGTAATTGTATCTTCTAAAAGTATACTGAGCTTATTCTACTGCTCCCCAATTTTTGCTGCAGGAAGAGAAGACGAAATGGCATAGAGGAGGATGGGCCAGTTCCACAAACTAAACGTGGTAGCCGAAATGCTGTCTTTCAGGATTCGTGGGATACAGAGGTAAGATGGTTTCAATACAGTTTTGCTTTGGCAGTTAATATATTATCCTATTAACAGAGTGTGTGAATACTTTTTGTAGCTGAAGTATTTTTACATGCATTCTGTCATGATGTTCCCTTTCAGGATTAAGCTCTTCTACAAAATCATTTTTGTTTCTTTTGACAAATATTCCTAGCAGTTCATTGCGTACTATCCACTGCCTTTCTACCAATATTTGTTTGCTTTACATTTTCTTCATTATCCCTTCCTTAGTAAATATTTCCTCATGTGCACAATTTCATTGTTTGTCAAACGTACAACAAATACCTGGATGTTAAACACATTAATTTTCAGTTCTGTATTCCTTGTTGCATCACATAGCATATCTAAAATTCACTTTGTTCCCTCATGAGTGCTTTTTTGTGGATCTCATTAGCATAACTCTATATTATTCTTGGGCCCTGTAACATATTTCTCCTCCATCTGTTACAAGCTGCTGCTTCCAAATCTTTCCTTATGCCGTTTCTTTTGTCATTAATTGGGAGATTAATCTGTCTCTAATACTTCTCAATATTGGATTTGCATTTTCTCTTCATCTATTTGCTGCTTTGGAATATTTTAAAATTTCCATTGTTTCCCAAGGTTCGCTGTTGGTTCTATGGAAAAGGAGCTCTCCCACATTCAGAACTCTTTATTATCTTTTATCTTTCACTACTTTCCTTGTATTCATCATAAACAAAGCACTTGTACTTTTCAACAAATCTTTTTTAAGTACATACACACCAATATCCATTGTTATTTATTCTTATCCCGGAATGCCCCAATTATTTGTTCTAGTGTTTTCTCATTTTATACACATTAACTAGAAGATCCCATTCATTATGTTGCAAATTTTCTTCAAATTTATCAGTTGTTGTGACATCACCAACATTCAGAGAAACATGACATACAAGTGTCACCAGTGGCTACTTTTGTATGTAGCACTTTGT